GGTTCAAAAAGGTTGCAAATTAATGAAACATTATTAGATCTATTGTAAAGAAATGCCGTGTTATCTTATTTGATAACACAACAATGATATGTTCAAAAAAATGACTTAACATGAGAAGTTCAGGATAAACATCTATAAGCTTATAAGTTGTTGCTTCGGTTTATGTCTGGCGTCCTTTCTGCTGTTAGAGAGACAATCCAGTCAATTTTGTTCAGTTGTCACAACAGTCAGTTGCGTATGTATATTTACATTTTATGATATTTACTTTAAATAACTGACTTTGCTAGTAATAAAAGAAATGACTTCTCAAAGTATTGGTACTGAGACGGATTTAGATCCACCAACTGCAAAGTCACTTGACGGGTATTACGACGTGAAGAAAGTCAAAGAAAAAAAAGGAATTGTGTCGCGCTGGAGTATGAGCCAACAATTTGTGATATCCGGGACACAAGGAATTTGGATTTAAGCGGTGTTCCTGCGTTCATTCCAAGGAAGTTGTTGAAAGAGTGTAAATTCAGTTCGGATCCCGATGAAGAATATACATGTAAAGCAGGGTGTGTTTATTGTTGCTATTGCAATGCAGAATTCACGAATACGTGCGAAAGAAGAATTGTATTCGACATGAAAAGGATGTATTATATATATATGTAATATGTCGATTTCCTGGATCTCCACACCATGTTTGTATCGAGGATACACCTGAACATCGTGGCTGTAAAAAGGATGGACCAAATGCGTGTGTTGGTGCACAAGAGTGGAGAAATACTCATCCTGACTTAAGACTGGTAGAACCATGCCACCTCGCAGCCGTGGAGCTACCTTATTTAACCATAAGTCATATGATATATTTTGCCATGCAACGGAAAAAATGGCCTGAAATAATGAAATCAATCCTAGAGATTGACCTGATTAGTTATGAGAAATCAGAGCTATCAATTGATAGTCCAATTCATAGATTGAAACTCCAACTGTTTAGCACGAACTTTCAATACATGAGATGAATCTATGCACTTGCTACAACAATTTGGCAAATTTCAACTTCCCAAAGCTTTGGAATAATCTTAGTAAATAATCAAATGTGAAGCATTTATGTAATATCATTTTTGCTGATTCGATGAAATATAACATTGGTTTTGTTATTGTCTCTTTTTCTCTCCTTTCAACACTTATAAACAACTGATTATAAGCATATTGATTTTTACTCCTCAAACTCTTCCTTCCCTATCACCCAATCATCTGAATCAGTCAACATTGAGTTTCTTGATTCGCGATTTATATCAAAATGATATTTTTCTTACTTTCTTATCTTCAATTATTATCTATTATCCATCTGTAAACCAACAATCGATAATTCATATTAACTGATAAGCTTGACTGATCTTAACTGTCAGTTTATCACTTGTTTCATCTTCATTGTTTTTCTTGCTAATAACATGTCATCATCATCGTCATCTTCAACCTCATCAGTTTCGTTATCAACATCACCATTACAATATTCGTTTCTCAATTTCTTTCTCATTCAATCTTCTTCTTCTTTCCCTTTGCATTCCATCCAATTGTCAGACAAGACTGATGAATCCTAATTGAAGACGAAAACTGTTCACGGAGGTTGAGCAAAAATTTACCAATCAATTGACCTCAAATCCTGACATTGAAATGACTTATCAATTCCACTAATTACAGAACTCATGATCCTTCATGACTCAATATGGCTCAATATACAAAAACAATTGCACTTTCATCAATCCAGTTTCGATCATTTCATTTCGATCTATCCAAAGATGTTCAATTTCTGATTTGATCAGATTTTTTTTCTCCGAATGAACTTCGCATTCACAACTTTGCGTTACTATAACAATGCACGAATGAATGGAATGAAAAATTTTACTTCAAAATTACGAATCGAAGTTCATCTTCTAACAGTTGAAATGGAGCTCAAAGTGCGATTATTTGATTTTTGATGCATTTTAGAAGAAAAGAAACGCAAAATCGAAAAGTTTATCGAAACTTCATTTTAACCTAATGTTGCTCTTATCATTATTATCATGAAATTGACCAAGAGAATGATTTGTTTTGTCTTGTTCGTTGAAACAAAATAATAGTAAATCAGGCTAGAATTAATGATGTTTACATTGTGTTGACACTTTGATTATCATTTGAAGAATAAGTATAAAAGCAAACGAAATGGGGAAAAATTGAAGAAAAAAAAGCAAAGCAAAAAAAGATAATCAATCAGAAGATGCAACACATAACATCATTTCACTCTCAAAGGTTTTTTCCTGTTTCTGTGTCTTGTCCATGAGTTCATCAAAAACAAAAACGTATGAAATTCAGGTTTGAAACAAAACAAGATAAAATATTAACTACATGTAATAGAGGCTAGGAATAAAACGTGGTTCATGATAAATGAATTGTTCAATGTTTCGAGTGAACACAAAAAACATCGCTCTAGACAATAAAATTAATACATTAAAAGATTGCCTCTAAACATTGACAACTTTTTATGCTAACAAAATGCTTCTATTAATAATAAAATAAACATTCATTTTAATTGAATTCGGATCAAGTGCAATTTAATTCAAGTGAATAATGAAAATTGAGAAAAAAATCCCGATTTTTTCAACTCTTTTAATTAAAAAATTTCAAAAAAAAATCGAGGCCTTCGACTGAAGTAAATTTCACCATTGGATTCAAAAACCTCATTAAATATTGCAAAAAAGTTCGACTTTGAAAAAGTCGATAAAAATGAACCAACCCGAGAACTCCATGAATTTATATTTTCAGCAATATTTTTGTCCACAAAACTGTAAATCGTTGAATTTTCAATAGCAAAGCGACGATAATTCGACGGCAAACACGCTCTCGCACTTCGTATCCTAAAAGTCGCTTTTCAAATTCGAAGTCCCAGCAAAATTACAATTTCTCAACAGATTTCTTTAATTCTGAGAGAACTGATTTTTTTCAGTGAAATCTATTTCCAAGACTTACGGAATCAGGAGTCAATGTGAGAAAAATTCGTTGACGAATCGAAATATTGACTTTGAGTTGGAAAAAGCAAAGAAAGTTGAAAGTCTAAATTTTCTTAGCATCGATTGGTTAAATATTCAGATGACATGATTGATGAAAATTTGTCGACATTGAATTAAAGATAAATGCACGTTTCAAAGTGCTTTGCAAAACTTTGAAATTGATCCCATTAGATTGAAGCAATCAATTGAATCGTTAAATTTTGTTGAACAAGTTTGATAGTTTTTTTTCACCAACATTGTTTGGCTTTGGTTTCTTTGGACTTTCATCTGAACAACAAAAGCATCCAAAAAGCAGATTGAATAGACTAAACTGTTTCCATGTCAATAAATAAACAACTGATACTGAATCATTGATGAGAAGGCAAAGTGTAAAAATAAGTATTAGAATAATGTTGATTGTAATAATAATGGAAATTCAATATTTTCACTTGAAAATGATAATTTTCTCTTCTCTCTCCAGATCATGCTTTATGATTCATTTTCATCAATCCATTCATTGATTGATTCATTGAGCCATTTTATGCAACAAACAAAATGATTCAATTCTCTAATGACTGAAGAGAGACGAAAAAAAATATCATGAAATTGGTAAACACAAAAGGCGAGAAAAAAAGTTTCGACTATTTTCCCTTTTCTCATTTTATTACTGAAAAAAATATCAACTCTTGATGATGAGCAATAAATTGGTGCATTTGTAGTTAACCTTTAAAGTAAAGTTGCATTAAAAGTATGAAAATTTTCAGTCATTTGTCGTTATTCAAATAATCTGAAACATTCCCAGGCCAGCGAGAGAAAAAGGTAAAGAATGAAAAGAGGAAAAATTGTTATTACCCGAGGCTTTACATTGTATCATGATTATTTTGTCTCGCTCACATAATCAAGACTAGAAAAAATTCATTTTTCCTTTCAATCACTCATTCCAAGCATTCATCAATTTTCATCAGTTTTGTTGTTGCCAGTAATTTATTCAGAATCTGTTTTCACTCAATGAAGTTTCTCATTAAGCAGCAAAACTAGAAACCACTTTAAAGTCAAAGTCGAGAAAAGATGAATATCGAATTATTTCCAGTCGAATCTCATTTCGTGATTTACAATTGAATTGCCAATTTTCATGATAATCTTCGATCATTTTCAGGCCAAAAAGATTCTAATTGTTATCATTGGCGAAATTGAGTTTTACCATTTTATTGAATTTGATTTTACTTTTGACATATCAATTGATTTTCAGGCGATTCGTTGCTTTATTGGTTCGAGTTTTTGGACGATTTTGTGTAAATGTGTTTGAAAGAATTTTTTGAATCTTTGGAAAACTTCGAACTTCTTCTTCTGTTCTGGTTAATTATTCTCTTGAGGTCAATTGAACCAATGATAATATTTTCTTGTTTTTCTTTTGCTTTTCATCTTTTCTCTTTTTTCTTCTCATCTGGTCATCATTCTGATTATCAAGATGAAATAAATAGTTTTCTTTCTTCTTCTAATAATGTTCTTTTACTTGCCTTTTTTTATTCTGTAAAATGATAAGATTACAGAATTTTTGCTCTTCTCGAGTTCATTTAAGAGTATTGATGGTGATGCGTCCAGTAACTAGTGGATCGAGATTGTGATTTACCTTTAACCATTGTTTTATCATTGCTCATCAGATACAGAATGTTTCAAAAGGTTGAATCTCCAGAGAAATGGTGCATTATTGATAGTCAATTTGAGTGTCTTTTGTTTCTACACTTTGTGCTGCTTAAATGCTATCCATTGATGGTTAATGTACAAATATCTGCTCAATTGAGCACAATTAATCAAACAGTGATAATAATCAAGGAAAGGAAAGCACAAACAATCACGATCAACTTGGTTAATCTGTTGATTTGTATCAGTTTGCTAACACACAAAATGGAATCGTATCCAATTTATAACCTTGTTAACATCAACTAATGACTAACCTTAATTTTGACCTTTTTATTCCTTTTTTGTTGCTAGATTTTTAAAGCCTCAAAATTGACCGGTCACTGAATTCCGGAAGTGCTGTTTATCTCCCCATAGATTGAGATATAAGGAGGAATGGAGAGACATGGATCTGGAAGTAAATACATCCGAAGCTCGGGTCAGTACATCAACAGTTACTTGCAAAGCATCGGATCAGGCAGAGTATATGGCAGTACCAGAGGCAACACTAGATTCGAGTCAACCCTTGGACTTGGAGTCAACAGGCAACCTATTAACTCTGTCAACCGGTTCAACCTTCCTTTCCCTTTGGCCTTGGCTTCGGTATGTTGATGAAGAAGCAGATGGATCAAGTAGTTATGGTGATCAAATAGACCCATCATTGGTATCCACTGTTAGTCCGTTAGTATTAACCGAGTCAGCATTGATCCAAGGTGCTCAACCTGGACCCATAGAGTCTCCACATTTCATTGACAGTAGGGATAAAAGTGGTAAACAGTTTCCATCCAGTGCAATGGAACCAGCTTGTACCCTTACCAAGTCCAATGTGATTGCTATCGAACCGTGTATAAAGCGTCCCTTGGGTCGCCTAAGAAGTGGCTCAAGTGGAGCACCAAGGTTTAGTAATAGTGCAACCGGGGAAAAGGTGAAAGGAGGTCCAGCTGATAGGAGAGCAAGCTGTGTAAATCGGGTCGATTTTCCTCCTTCGTTTTACCTCCACCGTACACGACGATTATCACGTAAGCAGCTTTCATCTGAACGTGAAGGTTCATCTTCATCTTCAGCTTCTGCAGAACCAATCACCAATCCGGACCTGCCTTATCCTGACTACACTGAACTTTCATTTCGATGTCTAAGTCAATATTCACCAGTTCGTCGAGTCTGTCTGGCCATGATTTCCAATCCATATCCTTTTCATGCAAAAAATTTTTCTTTAAATGTTCTAATTCAATTTCTTCTTCTTTACAAAAAAAATTCATTCATCTTTCATTCCAAATCATCAAATTAACCAACAAATTAACAGCAACAATAAAAGCAAAAAAAGTTAAACAAAACATGAACAAAATGGTAAGAACCTTTGAATTGATTATGATAACATTAAAGCCTCAATTAATACAGATTCTCTCGATCCAGTGATTCTTTTCAGGGTAGAAAAAATTCTGTTTATCAGATTTTCTCCTTTTCACTCATTGCCATTGATTTGTTTTAACTGTTTTATTTCAATTGTCACTGTTAATTTATCGTCTAATTGACAATTACAATTGAATGTTGAGTTAAAATTTAACTTGATTGACCTAAAGCAGCCTTTTTTTACCAAAAAATAATCCTTTTCCAAACCATTAATCTTCCTCTTCCTCTTCAAAGCCTTTCATGGAATACAGAAGATGAGGAAGAAGAGAAAGAAGAAAATTCCTTGAACCAAAGACAATTAGAATTACCTCAATTTCCTTTCAATACCACACTTCAATTGACAATATCAATGGTTACCTTGTGTCTGATCAAGATGCAAGTCAAAGACTTCTCATTTCATTTGTTAACTTGATTTAGTAAACTCAACAATTGTAAAGGTGAGACGAAAAAAAGGAACGAAATTAAACCTCTAATCGACGATGAAAATTATTAAACACTTACAGTGTTTTCACCTCACTCGATTGAACCTGATCCATCTATAATCATCATCAAGATTACCATTAATAATAACAAGACTTGTACAATATTAATGTGGATAAGAGTGAGCAAGATTAATGAATAGAAAAGGGTAAATTTATTCAGTTCAGTAGCAAAGGTGTTGTTCAAAGGCGATAACATTTATCACCTGAGTAGAGCAAAATAATTATCCCAATCATGTGAATATTCAGTTTGCCTTTTCGAGTGTTTCTCTGGTTTACTCTGTTTAACCAAGTTATTAATAGCCAAAAGTATTATCATTGAAAGATTTGATGAAACGATTAATCAGTTTAAATGGAAACCAAAATGGTAACCAGGATAAACCTGTAATCTCATTGAGAACAAGCTAATCATGTTCACCGAATGGAAACAGTTTCAAGTTTTTCATTTTCCCAATCTTCCTTTCCCTTTCCACACTTAATTAAACTTGATAATCGCAATGAGAGGTCAAGACTCGGGTCAACATTTTGAATAAAATTTCCATTTTTCGATTTCTTCTCTTGATTTTTCCAACTTTTTTTGCGTTTTTTGAGGTTTTCAGGGAACAAATTGTTCAGCTTGGAATTTGAATGAAAATGTGTCTGTAGTATTATGGATTGAAGTTTGATGAAGCGATGAAACAATGATTAGATTATCATGAGAATTTTATATTCATTTCTCATCTATTTTCTATTTGCTATGTTTCTGCTTGGAAATGCTAAGCGAAGAGAAATGTTTGACATTTCCAGTTAAATGGTTCAATTGTGAAAGTTGAAGTTTGTGGCTTTGTTTGAGTTGAATTTATTGAGAGAATCAAAATGTTGCAGAAAAAAAACTTTTTGTTTTCTAGCCTTTCTCAATTTTGAAAAAACGTTGAAAAAAACCTAAACGTAACTGAGTGAATTATTTCAATTTTACATGATTAGCTTTTGAATTTCATCACTTAAGCATGCAACTTATGATGATATATCCTGTTAAAAGTATTTGTAAATATTGATCAGAAAGTAAAACTGAAAAACAAATAATCGGTTGACCCTTACTTTTGAATGGATGAAAAAAACTGTTTTTTTAATGCATTAAACTGGCAAAGTAAACTCTTGTCGGTCAACAAATCTTGAATATTCACTTGAAGGCAAATCCATGAACGACTGAAAATCAGAAGAAAAAGGACAAAAATCTCTTGGCCATAAAAGCCTCACTGAATAATCATGTTTTTTCAAGCAACAAGAAAGCAAATTCGAGTTCTATTCAAAGTCTTGAGAACAATTTCTCAGCTGAAAACCATAATTTCCATGTTTTATTCAACACGAAATTGCATGAATTAGAACAGAAAATTTAAATTTTCAAAGAAAATTAAAAAAAAATATTGAAGTCCAAACTTTTCTTCGGCTTAAACATTATATTTTTTCCGTAAAAGTTGAGAATTTGAAGAATAGAAAAAATATTACAAAATTATATCGATTTGAAAACGCTGCATTTCAGATTATTTTACCATTAGAATCTTTGATCAGTTTGAAAAAGTGAAAATTATTCGAAGTTCGATTATTTTCATTTCTTTTTGTCAAACTGTTGAGTAAAATTTAAAAACTGAATGGTTCATTTCAATTTCATTGAGTTTTATTACCTTTAGGCTTGTTATTGAAAGAGTTCACTGATTTGGACTATCTGTGTGTTCAGCTTGATCTAACCTGTAGCATGTGATTCATTGAAAGGCTGCCTTAGGTAAAACTAAACAGTAAACAAGATAAAAGTTGAAATTTAAAGTTGAACAAAATTTGGAGTTACTTAAGTACTTCAATTACTGGTTTGATGAGTAACAAGCAACTTTAATCACTTTGGTTAAGAAATTTGTTGAAAAGGTTCATCTACTTTGACCCAATAAAGATCATTTTGTCTACTCAGTCACCTCATCTTTCAACTAATGTTGATTCATCTTGAACCAAAACTCATTTCACTCCAACCTCACCTTTTTTTTAATATTTCCTTCTTGTTCAACTTCCCTCCCAGTAGCCATGCCCTCCCAGTTCAACACAGTCTTGATATAATATCGCTATAAGTACCTTTTTACATTAGTAGCAGATGATAATTATGATGATCATCATCAAAAGAATATCTATTTATGCTAAACCTGAATTCAATTTTTGTTCCTTTTCTCTCTATTCTTCACTCTTTACATTATGTACAAAGTCTGTTAATGATCAACTTATAACATTATTTTGTTTCTTATTTTTTAGATCATTCAGTTTTGAGTCAAGTTCCAAGAAAATTCAGAGATTAATTTCGAATGAAATATTTTTGCTATTAATCAAGAGATGAGACAAAATGAATTGAATGATGGTTTGAAAACAATGACAAGTCTGAAAATCTTCAATTCTGGGAATCGATAAGTTTCGTCTGAAAAGAACAATTTTTCTCTGGAAATTGCATTTCTTGGTAAAAGTGATTTTCTATTCAACTGTAATTCAGTAAAAATGCTCAACATTAGTCATTTTGGCAGTTCACTTGAACAATTATTTCCAACGGAATGAAAAAATCTCTCAAAATTGTGAATAAACTTTTATTGAATTGTAAATGATTTTTTAACTTGAATTTTCTATTCACTTGTCGATTCAAACATTCAAAGTTCAAGCTACAAGTTAAATATTTACTGGAAAGATTTGAACTGCATAACAATGGCATTGAAAGACGAGGTCAACTTCAATAATAGAAAGATCATTTTCTCATCAGAATTTTTCGTTTTTTTCTCATATTATCATTCAAAACTCGCAATGTTATTGATCCGATTGGGAAGCTAGATTGAAAGCAAACACAAAATAACCATTTTTATCTATTTTTATTCTTTGTTTCACAATCAGCGAATTGAAGAGCAGATAACTCGGAATAGCAATAATGTTCACTGAACAACAGCCTGAAGACAATTAATGAAAAATATTCTTGCAATGAAAATGATTATTTCAGCCATTCTCTTCATTTAATAATCTTGCCCTAATCTAAATGTTAATATCAATATTGCCTGGAAGAACAGTTTCGAGCCGATAATCAAAATATCTCGACAACAATTTTCTCCCCTTTTCTTTCCTTTCCTTCCCTGAGAATACCAATGAATCTAATCTTTACTTATCATGATTGTTGAATCTTCATGAATATAAATTCAATATATGCATAGATATTGGAAAACCTTTCAACTTTTCTTTTTGATAAACTTCGACTTTAGCTTATATCGTTTGGTAATGATGAAACTCGACTTTTCACTTTGAACAGTTGAAAGAATCAGCCAACAGGAAATTATATATTGAAATGTTGCTCATAAATATCTCAACATTAATAAGAAATGAAAGAGAAAAGATTAAAAGAATGAAAATTTGGCAAAATTGTCGAGTCTTTTGTCAATCACAATTTCCACTTTTATTCATGATATTAATTAACTCTCAACATTCAATTTCCATTGGAAGAATCAAAACAACTTTTCGACAGAAAAAGAGTTTCGAAATTTCGAAATGAACATTACCTTGAAAAATCACATTCAGATAATGGTACCAATTAGTTCATTACAAATGTGTTCACTCATGTAAAGAATAAGAAAAAATGAAATTCATTTCTCTTCACTTCTTTACTCTTGTCAACATTTTCAGCCTTTTTTGGCCTTTTTTCCCTTTTCTGTTCGCTTTTTTTCCAAACTCAATTTTTCAATTTACAAAATGGTTCAGCAATGAGCTACAATTAATATTAATTATCATGGATGAATTATTTTTCAGCAAATAAGAATCATTTTGTTATAACATCATGTAATGAGTTTAAAAGATTTTTTTTTCTTGTTCGCTTTTCTTTCGTTTGAAGCGAGAAAATTTTCCAATTTAAAGAAACTAATTATCAACTAAATATGATTAAGATGAATTATATTGACATTAAGTTAATTGTTAACTTTCAAATCGTTATTTGATTAACTGATTATTATGAGGCATAAAATGGGCTCCATTTACCAACAGCTAATATCAACCTTTAAACGCTTGGTTTGAGGAAAAGGATTGGAAATGTTTTCAAAAGGGTTTCCCTTGTAAATCTATTGTTGATCAAATTTGGACAAAATCTTACTTGAAATGATGAAGGTAAGAAGCCTTTAATTCATGGTTCAAGGGACAATCCAATAATTAGACAAAAGTTTAGATTGAATGAGGATAAATGAGGCTTGTTCATTTTGCTTTCTACATTTAATGAGATCGCACAAAGATGTTGAACGACGTTGAACATGAAAAGTAAAAGATAAGATGATCATCATTTGAAAGGTTTACAATCTTTTAATTACATTAATATATTCATGGAACAGTAATGTCAGATTATCTTAAGGAAGAAATGGTAACGAAAGCTGAATAAAGTTCGAATTTTCACTCAATTCGGTAATTTTTAATTTCTTGAGGTTTTGTCTTTTCTTTCCAATCATTTCGAAAAATGTGTTTGGACATTTTCAAGAACAAGATTTGTTATTTAATGAACTTAAAGTGAGGCGAAATTTGTTGAGCTATTCCATTAACTTGACTCTTATGCTGAATGAGACA